TTGTAATAAGGTAAGATTTTAGCCACGATTAATTTAAATAATTTTTAATTGAATGCGGCTTTTTGGTGGGTAAATATTTAATAAACAAATATAATTTATTAATAAATAATTATAATCTATTAATCATTTTAATAAATAATTATATGTTAGTGAATTTTTTTAACATATTTTAGTATAAAATGTATGTGTGTGTTTTTCTAACAATCTATTTATATAAAGGATAAGTAATTATTACTAAGAAGTCATTTTTAGTGATTTAACATATGTTTTTAACAGTTATTACTAACAATATGTTTTTAACATATTTTAGTATAAAATGTATGTGTGTGTTTTTCTTACCAGGATAAGAAATCACATACAATTTAGATTTATGAAAATATATTATCGCATGTTGAAAGACAAAATTATATTTTATAAATACAAATATAATTTATTCGTATATATATTTCAGAAGATATAATGCTACATGTTTTTCTTAAGTGTGACGAGCTAAAATATTTAATGCGTATTTAATGAATTAAACAGAGAAAGGATCGCAAAAGGATGTTCTTTGAATCGAGAAAACACAAAAGGTAGGTATTTAAATGAATTTCCTTTTTAGTAGTGTCGATGGTAAAAATAAATCAAAAAATAAATTCTAAAAAATCAACCAATAGAATCGCTAGAATTCTTCTGAGAAGGGCTGTGTGAGTGCCACGTGTCAAAGTGACTTCTCTTTTAATGTATAGGGGGATATTTATTAAAAAATTAAATATTTTAAAAAAAATTTTAACATCAATATCTTTAAAAAAATTGTTATGAAAATAAATTATGTATATGTAAAATATTTTAGGGCCCCTATTCAACTAAAATTTATAAATATTTAAAATTTTCTATATAAAAATATGTATATATAAAAAAATATTGGGCCCCTTAATTAGTAAAATCCAGGGACACGGGTTTGAACCCGGGCGCATCGTTTGTCCCCCCTTGTAAGCCGGCCTTGAACCCAGTCCGGATTGAAATCAACAACCTCCCAAGAGTTGGAGCTTAAACTAAAGATTTCCAACTCACTTACTCGGCGCCTTAAGGTGTGGTCGTAATCATTCACCATTCTCAAAACTTTGTGTCTATGCCGCGAGTACTTGGTCCTAATCTCGTATCCGAGAGCGTACCTGTCAAGTTCGTGGTAATAATGGCAATAATCACTGGGTTCGATCCACCTTGTTTGCCCATTAAAAGGGTTCCAAACAACAAGAAACTTTCTGTCTCTGGTGGCGCATAACAATAAACCCTGGCAGTGAAAGATTTTAGATATGTCCACGCCATCATCTTGGCCGCTAACGAGTTCACCTATAGGCTCTATAGATGGAGATGGATTGTGGAGGTTGACGCTCATCAAGTAAACTTTGTATGTGAACATCATCACCACCTGAAACTCCTTCCTCTTTGCTGCTTCCTCTTTGTACTCTTTTGTGAAGCTTCGATTTTTTGACAAAGTGTTGTTCCACCTTTTGCAGGTGAACCGTACTCCTCGCAGCGATGTAATGGGAAGCTTAGAGAGCACCTCCTCCGCCATGTCTCTTGGAAGATCCGATATCATCGTAGCCGCTTTTGTTTCAGTAATCGAACCACCAGCCTCTTCATTTTTCGGATCTATGTACTAAGCACACCAGATAAATTTATGGCCGTATACGTTTAGGGTTTTAGGGCTTAACGTACTAATTGTTTTATTCAGCAAACCACTAAACATTTGACAAAATATCCACATCAGCTTAAAAACACACTTTCAAAAAATGTCAGTGACATTATTAATATTATTACATTATTATGTTTAATTTTACATTTTCGAAGTATTGATACAATGTATAGTTTTATATTTTAATATTACTGTTAAATATAATTTTTAAAATAATAACTAATATGTAAATATACAACATTATAAATGGAAATACTATATTAAACATTTGTAAGATTATCATGATATATATAATTTTGAAAATAAAAATATGTAATTATAAAATATTAGAAATGGAAATACTACATTAAACATATGTAAAATCAACATTTTACATTTTTAGAAAATAATCCGCAAATATTGCTAATATTATTACCTTATTATGTTTAGTTTTACATTTTTGAAATATTGATATAATGTATAGTTTTACATTTTAATATATAATATAAGAATGTATATATAATAATAAGATAACTAGATTTTGACCCGCGCTTAAAAAGCGTGGGTATTTTTTTTGTTGTTTTTACTTTTTTGTTTATTTCAACAATTTTTTTTCTATTTTTTTGTTGTTTTTACTTTTTGTTTTTTGAACATTTTTTGAATAAAAATTTATTTTAACTATAAGTGGATAACAAAATCATATGATTTTGATTAATCTAAATAATTAAATGGTTTTATTTTTATTGATAAAAAAAGTTAATGATGAGTTTTCATATTTTATATATATGTGTAATTCATGTTTATATATATTGTTGAGCTTTCATTACAGATTTGAAGAGCATTTGGAGTTCCAATTTATAGAAAGTTAGTGTTGGAATCAGATCAAACCCGCCTAGTACGATCTATCCCCTCGTGGGTTGAGTCATTTTTACTCAAAAAAATTACATGCATGACCAACCAGGAAGAAGAAAATATTACACCCCCTCCTCCCACTCCGCTTCCCTCAAGACCTGTGGATAATTATTTTATTAAATTTTTAAAAAATATATTTATAACTAATATATATATATATATATTTAAAATAATTTCTTGTGGGTTGGCTGGTACCCGCGATTCAATTTCAATCAACCCGCACCTATCTCATATAAAATACATCTGACTTGCACCCACATCCACAATTTAAGTAGATTTGGAATATAGTATATTTTTATAGTATCTCTTCTTTTTAAACAAACAAATCTAATTTAAAATCTGTTTTGGATATATTTTTAAAATTAGAATATATTTAAGAAATATATATAAATATTTAATTAGTTATAAAAATACATGCATTCGCGATTTAAGTAGATTTGGAATATAGTATATTTTCATAGTATCGAAAGTATCTAATGTTAATCTGTTTTGTATATACTTTTAAGATTGAAATATATTTAAAAGAATTATTCTGCAGTTATTTAAAATCTGATATCAAATCTGATATCAAATCTAATGGGCTGTTTTGTTTAAATATTTCTGATCTAGCTTATTTTCGGGTTGTTTTGTTTAGATGGACAGAAACATTAATTTCTAATCTAATTGGCTTTAAATGTCCTAAAACCATTTACAAAAATCGGAATGGGCTTTAAATGCCCTAAAACCATTTTTCTTTTTTAAAAGGAAAAGTTTAGGCAACTTTTGTAATTAATTAGAAAATTCAAGGGCATTTTCATAAACAGTCATCTGCTTTAATAGTATAGATACACAATTTGAAAAATGGAAAAAGTACTTTAATCATTAAACATTTATCTTAAATGCAATATATATATATTATTAAGTAAATATAGAATATAATATATACGAAACTAGGATGAGAAGAAAAATCAAATATTTCCAAATCTTAATTATGTATAGCGTTTACATTTTTACAAGAGTAATTCTTGGGTTCATCAACCAATAGAATTACGTTATTTTATATTCAGTATCTTTTAAAAAATATATTGTTGAGTTATATTATGTTTTTAAAATAAAAAAAATAAAAATAATAATTCTAGTTGCAATAAATTTTCTTTTAATACTATTATCAAAAAAAGTTAAACCTTGAATCTTAAACCTTAAAATGTTTTTGTAAACCCTAACCCTTGGATAATCTTGGATCTTTCTAAAAAATATTTTTGACACCGTCAGTAAAACATTAAACCCTAAACCCTAAATGCTTGGATAAATCCTCAACCTTTGGCTTAATCTTAATCCTAGGATTTAAGATGAATCCAATAGTTGAGGATTTATCAAAGGGTTTAGTGTTTTGCTGACACTACAAATTTTTTTAAAGAAAATATTGTTTGCAGCTACCATTATTTTTTATTTAGTTTTATCTTTCGATTGGTTGGTGAACATAGAATTTTTTTCTTTTACAAATGCTATCTAAAACTAAAGGATATGACAACCATAGCAGAAAAAAAAAAAAAAAAACAATATCATCTACGGCTATCAAAACTTATTTTTCTTGTAGTGAGTCCAACATCTCTATTTATATTAAGGATTCTTTGTGGTTTTCTTGGTATTTTTTGTCTTCATCTTCACGTATCAATTTATGTATGGAATTGTTATTGACGTACTAATTTACAACTAGATCATTATGATAGTGGTTTCTTTGTCTTTCAGGATTTATATCACCATGTATACGTAAGTGAACGAACGCAGAGCTATCCAGTCAAAAAGAGAAGTATATGTAGAATGTCTCGAAATTACGACCGCAGGTTTGTCACAAAAACATAGAAAATAAAAAAAATCAGACCAAAACATTGGCTACTCTCCCAGAAGGCGACCTCGTGTTTAAGAACACGTACAAGAACATCTTCAGCTTCGGACGATGTTCTTGACAGATGAACTCAGACGTTGAAGGCATGACGTGTAGCTTCTGTATATATCTAACGGTGATTATATATCCACGTGTCAGTAACCCCTCACTTTCTCCATTGAAGTTGCTTCGTCAACCTAGTCTCAAGATTCTTCTTCATCGATTATCCCTCTCTCCCTGTCAAACGTTTTTGACTTCCTCCTATACATTGTAGCGTGCACGTTTTATTGGGCTTTTAAATAATAAACCCAAAGCCCGTAAAAGTCCAACTATATCAACGGCAGTAAAAGACGCAACGATTACGTGGCACATTCAAAACCGTTAAAGATGGTTGGACACGTGTTAAGAGAGAGTGATGACGTGGAAACTAATTCTTTTTGGGGAATTAATTTTTGAGTTGTCTCTCTCACCGCAACGCAATCTACTCCTCTCCTTTGCGTGTATCAGTTTATTTATATACGCATCGGACTACGGCGGCGGATTACATTTTTCCGGTGAGGCGATAAGATGGCGGATGAGAAGTATAACAGGAAGAATCCGGCGGTGAAGAGGATTTTGCAGGAGGTTAAGGAGATGCAAGCTAATCCATCCGATGATTTCATGTCTCTTCCCCTTGAGGTAACCTAATCCTCGTCCGAGCTTTAGAGATCTGAGAGGAGATGTTTGATTGAATCGGAATCGGAATCGGAATCGGAATCTTCCTTGTGTTGCTATCGGAGATTAGGTTAAATTGAATCCGTTTGCTTCTGTAGATCTATGAATGGTGTATTGATTTTAGGTGATCATGGATGATATTGATCAGTATCCTCACGTGTTCATTGTGTAACAGATTGTTTTTCAGATTGAGAGTGTTGTTTTTGAGATGGTTTCTCTATGTATTTTTGCTTCAGGAGAATATATTTGAGTGGCAATTCGCTATAAGAGGACCAGCTGATACTGAATTTGAAGGTGGGATT